AAAAAAAAAAAAAAAAAAAAAAAAAAAAGAAATGAAATTTAACTGTTTGGATTTTTTTGAGTCGGGATCTCACTGTCACCCAGGCTGGACAGCTCTCTGCAGCCTGACCTTCTTGGCTCAGACAATTCTGCCTCAGCCTCCCCAGTAGCTGACTGGAATATAGGGGCACACCTGACTAATTTTTTTGGTATTTTGTAGAGACGAGGTCTTGCTATGTTCCTAGGCTCGTCTCAAACTCCTGAGTTCAAGCAATCCTCCTGCTTTGGCCTCCCATAGTACTGGGATTACAGGTGTGCACCACCACAAATTTAACTGTTTTACCTGTGATACATGCACTACAGAATAATATATACTGTACTAGTGATGCCAGGTGGGGTGTGATGTAGAACTCGTGGATTCTTTGGCTTGTTTCTAAAATGAATTTTAAAGCGTCCAGCAAAGTTTTAAAACAAAGCTTATTAGAGAAAGAAGAGAGAAAAGAATCGGAAACATGCCAGAGTTGGCATGGGTAAAAGAAACCGCACCTTTTACTCTTGATTTTTTTTTTTTTTTGAGTTGGAGTCTCACACTCTGTCACCCAGACTGGAGTGCAGTGGCTGCTCCCGGCCACCGCAGCCTCGACCTGCTGGGCTCCGGTGATCCTTCCGTCTCAGCCTTCCAAGTAGCCGGAATTACAGGCATGCGCTACCACGCCTAGCTGATTTTTTTGATTTATTGTAGAGATGAGGTCTCACTGCCCAGGTGGGTCTCGAACCGCGGGCTCGGGCAATCCACTCACCTCAACCTCCCAAAGGTGTCGGATTACCAGCTGAGCCACCAAGCCCAGCCCTTGTACTCTTTACAATAGCCCAGATATACCTTCACACTGATTGATATGCTAAAAAGGGTGGAGCCCAGGTAACCACCACTCTGGAGATGGACATCTCTGGGCTCCTGATGGGAGGAGAGAAGTGGGGGTGACCTTTTCCTGACCACACAGTCTTTTGCAGGAGACCTGCCAGACGTTTCCACTTCACAAATTGCTGAACTAAAAGGTGGTCTTATTTTTATTTCCATGGCTTTGGTCAAAGGGTGGTATTCAACAGGAAACCTGAAAGTTTCTCAGTGATTACTATGCTAAATCATGAATTGAAAGGTTGGGTTGTCCTATTCTTGCATCTAATGGGGTTTCTTTTGATTTGCCCAGGGGTTGGGGTAGACTGACAGCTTGACCTGCAGTAAAAAGTAATTTTTAAAATGTCTGAATGCTTCCTAAAACCTGTCTATGGGAAATGTATCCATGCCTAACCTGTGCTAGCTACTCTGCCTCAACTCCCCCCTTAAGAGATTTTCAATCTCATAATCATATGGGGTGCTAAGGGATGAAGGTCAGTCTTTGGTAACTTCTTCAAAGCTGGCAGTGGGCATGGTCCTGCCTAGTCAGAGATGGAAAATCTCACTTTCTGATTCAAGGTGTCCAGATCTGTTTTAACAGAGGCATGGTTTGCAGGCTCCAGCTGAAATCCTTGCATGATCATTGTGTGAGCATGAAATTGCTGGATTCTGGAAGACACAGATTGAACAAGGCAGTTTAAAAAAAATATGGACCAAAATTTAGCAGGATTATAATCATTACAATAGGCCCAATAAAAGGAATAACTTAAGGAAGCCCCTCCTTTTGCAGCAAGTGAAGAAGTCAAGTGAAGTCAGGTATACATTTTGACAAGTTAAGTGGTGGCTGATTACCTTTTATACCAAGGGTACAAGGCCTGTGGTTACCAGCATAATTTAACTGATAAGCTTTAATTTATGTGGCTTTATTATAAGTGCCAACTTTTAGAGTTTTTGATGTATTTCTAGACTATAGTGGCAATCTGACATTCTTCTGAACTGTAATTTGAACCAGACACTCAAGTGAATCTTATATAAAATTTGAAGAGAAACACAAAAATGTTAGTTTGGAGACTTGCACCCAGAAAAGACATTATGATGTAACTTAAATTGTAGAAAACAATAAAACTTAAAACAATGAACAAGATAATTTAAAACAGGTGTACCAGTTTCTTTTTTTTTAGTTGGAGTCTCACTCTGTCGCCCAGGCTGGCTTGTAGTGGCACACTCATGGCCGCGACAGCCTCGACCTGCTGGGCTCTGGTGATCCTTCTACCTCAATCTTCCAAGTAGCTGGAACCACAGGGGTGCGCCACCACATCTGGCTAATTTTTTTGATTTATTGTAGAGATGAAGTCTTGCCATGTGCCCAGGTTGGTCTCGAAGCCCTGGACTCAGGCAATCCTCTTGCCTCAGCCTCCCAAAGTACTGGGATTACAGACTTGAGCCACCGTGCCCATACCAGTTTCCTCTGAAACAATTTTTCAGTTTTCATTTTTGTTAAAGATAGATTATAGGCCGGGCTCTGTGGCTCAACCTGTAATTCCAGCACTTTGGGAGGCCAAGGCGAGAGGATTGCCCGAGCCCGCGGGTTTGGGATCCACCCAGGCAACTTGGCGTGACCTCGTCCCTACAATACATCAAAAATTAGCTGGGCTTGGTAGTATGCACCTGTAATTCTGGCTGCTTGGAAGGCTGAGATGGAAGGATCGCTGGAACCCAGCAGGCTGAGGCTGTGGTGGCCATGAGTATGCCACTGCACTCCAGCCTGGGCGACAGAGTGAGACTCCGACTCAAAATAAAAAATAAAAAAATAAAGATTAAAGTTTAATTGAATCTGAGATTCCCTATGGGAAAAAAAAGTTCTGACAAAGCCAATTTTAAAAAGCCTTTTTTGGCAAATAATCTCATTACAGTTTATATGCAAATAAGACATTAAGTCTAAACACGCCCAGCTAATTTTTTGATAGATTGTAGAGATGAGGTCTTGCCAAATTGCCCAGGCTAGTCTTGAGCCCATGGGTTCAGGCAATCCTCTCACCTCAGCCTCCCGAAGTGCTGGGATAATAGGCGTGAGCCACCATGCCCAGCCTTACATACCATTTTTTAACATGCTTGAACACTTATTTTTGTCCTATACTTTCCTTCTTCCCAAATAACCATTCACTCTATTGTATAGGATCCTTTCTTATATAAAATTGTTCTCTTTCCTTTATATTCTTTCTTACCAAAAACATACTTTTATACCAATAACTTTCTTTACATCTCTCCTTTGCCTTCTGGTTTCTTTTTTTACCTTTTTTTTTTTTTTTGAGTTGGAGTCTCACTCCATTGCCCAGTCTAGAGTACAGTGGCACGTTCACAGCCACCCCAGCGTCAACCTGCTAGGCTCCAATGATCCTTCTACCTCAGCCTTCCAAGTAGCTGGAACTTCAGGTGCGTGCTTCTACGCATAGCTAATTTTTGAAAAATTTATTGTAGAGTTGAGGTCTCACCAAGTTGCCTAGGCTGGGCTTGAACCCACAGGTCTGACCATTTCCCTTCATGCCTACAAAATGAATCTAACTGCCATAGGGTAGTAAAGGAAAAAGTCCCATTTCTTTTCCAAACCTCATTATCAGTTAGCTTGTATTGAGTTCAAATTTGACTGCAATAATGTATTAACATTTTTTGTTTTAAATCACACAATTCTAGTCAGGCATGGCGGCTCGAGCCTGTAATCCAGCACTTTGGGAGACCAAGGTGAGAGGATTGCCTGAGTTCAGAGGTTTGAGATTAGCCTGGGCAACTTTGAGATTAGCCTGGGCAACTTGGCTAGACCTCGTCTCCACAATAAATTTAAAAATTAGCCAGATGTAGTTCCAGCTACTTGGAAGGGTGAGGCAGAAGGACAGCCTAAGCCCAGCAGGTCAAGGCTGTGGTGGCTGTGAGTGTGCCACTGCACTCCAGCCTGGGTGACAGAGTGAGACTCCTACTCAAAAAAAAAAAAAAAGATCACGCAATTCTAATTTTTTCCAATTCTTTAAAATCTGTCCCAATGAGTTATCTGAGGGTATAGATTATTTCTCATTTTCTTCTTTGCATTCCCTGAAAACTCAGAACTTTGCCTTGGAACACCTGTGTGCTGCGTTCCTCAAAGGAAAATGCTGAAACAAAAGTAAAGCCATAAACAGTGATGCCAGGTGTCCCTGGGATCCTGATGACCTTTACAGAGCTGAGCGTCCCCAGCCCCGTCTGAAGTTTCCCACCGCTTCAGAATCCTCCTACATAGGACTTCCCACCTCTGTGTGCCTGTGACCCGAGGACCGCGGGCCAATAGGGTTTAATTCGGGACTTTCCAACAATGCCTTTGAAATGGTCTGATACAAAAGCCTTTTTAGAGTGAACAGACCATGTAGATGTGAAATGATCTGTTCCTACTTGTTTCCAATTATGAACAGGCAAATTTCTTAAGACCCTTTATAAATTACAAAATTACCTTCAGTTGTGCAGTGTGGACAATTAGATGAGTGTGATTGGTTCCCACGCTTCATCGTTCCACAGAGAGCCATTTCGCCTGTCCAGCAGAAACGGGAATGGCCAGTTCCCATGCCCCATTATGTCAAGGTCAGCATTCAGCATTGAAAGCTTTACCTATCTTGTGGGGAAGTGCTAATCAGGCACTAGGTGACTTAACTTCCTTCTTCCAAAAAAACCTTTAGCAAACCTTACAATACAAACTGTGGTGTTACTTAGCACTAACTTTTAAAGTAGCTGCTTAAAACATACCAGCTGCTTCCAAGAGACCTCTGCAGTTTTACAGAGACAAACAGTTGACTGCAATCTTGGGCAAGGCCTAAACCTGTAGAAACAGACTTACTTCAAAGTACCCCAGCTGCTAGCATTTGAAAACAAGAACAGTGTTATCCCATCAAGAGTCAAGGACACAGTAGCTGGTGCCGCTGGGGGCGGTGGTGGGGAGACACAGTAGCTGGTGCCGCCATACTTACAGACCCCGCGGTGCCCAAGATTGCTGAGCTTCAGGCCCTGCACCTTGGGTGCCAGATGATGCCGGGTGGGGTGCCGTGCAAAATTTGTTGATTATTTGGCTCGTTTCTAAAATGAATTTTAGAGCAGCCAGCAAAGTTTTAAAACAAAGTTTATTAGAAAAAGAAGGGAGAAAAGAAACGGAGACATGCCAGAGCTGGCATGGGTAAAAGAAACCGCACCTTTTGCTCTTAGGTAACCACCACTCTGGAGATGGACATCTCTGGACACCTGATGGGAGGAGAGAAGCGGGGGTGGCCTTTTCCTGACCACATTGTCTTTTGCAGACCTGCCAAACATTTCCAGTTCACAAATTACTGAACTAAAAGGTGGTCTTATTATCATTTCCATGGCTTTAGTCAGTCAAGGGGTGGTATTCAATAGGGAACCTGAAAGTTGCTTAGTGATTATTATGCTAAGCCATGAATTGAAAGGTTGGGCTATCCTAATCTTACATCTGATGGGGTTTTCTTTTCTTTTTTTTTTTTGAGTTGGAGTCTCACTCTCTCACCCAGACTGGAGTGCAGTGGCATGTTCCCTGCCACCGCAGCCTCGACCTGCTGGGTTCCAGCGATCCTTCCACCTCAGCCTTCCAAGTAGCTGGAACTACAGGCCAGTGCTACCACGCCCGGCTAATTTTTGATTTATTGTAGAGATGAGGTCTCGCCAAGTTGCCTGGGCGGGTCTCAAACCCGTGGGGCCAGGCAATTCACTCAGCTTGGCCTCCCAAAGCACGGGTTTACAGGCTGAGCCACTGAGCCCGGCCTGGGGTTTTCTTTTGATTTGCTGAGGGGTTGGGTAGGCTGCAGCTTGGCCTGCAGTAAAATGTAATTTTTTTTTTTTTTTTTTTTGAGTTGGAGTCTCACTCTGTTGCCCAGACTGGAGTGCAGTGGCCGCTCCCGGCCACCGCAGCCTCAACCTGCCGGGCTCTGGCACTCCTTCCGCCTCAGCCTTCCAAGTAGCTGGAATTACAGGTGCACGCTACCACGCCCGGCTGATTTTTGATTTATTGTAGAGATGAGGTCTCGCCAAGTTGCCCAGGCAGGTTTCAAACCCACAGGCTCAGGCAATCCACTCACCTCAGCCTCCCAAGGCGCGGGATTATAGGCTGAGCCACCGAGCCCGGCTAAAACGTAATTTTTTAAATGTCTGAATGTTTTCTAAAATCTGCCTTTGGGGAATTTATCTATGTCTAAACTGTGCTAGCTATCCTGACTCCCTAGTAATAGGCTAAGACTAGATTATATCTAAAGGCCCTTACAACTCTTATTGTAATTGCTAGAATGAAAGAGAGAAAACCAAGACATTGCAGAGATATAGCAATGTGTTTATACCAAATTAGAATACTATCTTTCATCCTGAAGATGGTTTTCTCACAGAATGATTTAGACCTAAATATGTTTTTCTTTTCTTTTTTTTATTAAATATATTTTTTATTATAAAATTGTGGGGTCTAAATATGCTTTTCAAATGGGTTTCGTGTAATCATAGTGGAGTATTCTAAGACCAGGATTAAAGATACGCTACTACAATTTATACAGAAGATGGTTCTATTAATTGTGGACAATGTGGACGGGGGATTAAAATTAATGTTAAGAATATGTTACTGTAGGGTTTTACAGTGGAGGATAAGCTACAGAGATAGCTAATACTATCATCATTCTGCATAAGCATCTAAAGATTAAGCCTAAAGAGAGTTCCCAATTCCCACTTCTCATTTATTAAAAAAGTCAGTTATAGAATAACAGCATCACATCAAGTCATTGGTATGTCGAGTCTTCAGCTTTATTTATTGAGTTGGAGTCTCACTCTTGTCACCTAGGCTGGAATGCAGTGGCATGATCATGGCTCACCTCCTGGGCTCAGGTGATCCCCGTGCCTCAGCCTCCTGAGTAGCTGGGACTACAGGCATGTGCCACCATGCCTGGCTAATTAAAAAAATTTTTTTGTAGAGATGAGGTCTTGCTATATTGCTCAGGCTGGTCTCAAACTCCTGGGCTCAAGCCATCCTTCCTCCTCAGCCTCCCAAAGTGCTAGAATTACAGGCGTAAGCCCCTGTGCCCAGCCAGCTAATTTAATATAGCAGTATAATATCATACTAAAGATTAGCTGTTACTCAGTGAATACAGGACAAAAATAATTTTAAAATGCGATATTTACCAAGTGGGATAAAAATTTTAAAATCAGTCTGCAGATACAACTGGAATTTTCCAACACAATCAAAAGATGAACTTCACTGGTTACAAATCAGTATTTGCCAGGATATGCATATTAGATTTTTCACTAATACAGTTTGGATAATATTTTGATGCTATTTTTAGAAGATCAAATGTTACTCCATCAATTACTTCTTCAGTCATACAGACAGATGTCCTAATGGATGACCTAGTAACATAAATCAATGGTTAGCTGCTATTCATCTGTTAAAGCTTGCATCAAATTTAAACACAATTTACATTTTCATAATATTATAGATGCCATAAGATATATGTGTGTTTGGTAACTCAGTTTATACTTCAACCCTTTGGGAGGCTTCACTTATTTGCATTTCCAATATGAACTGGTATTATTATATTTGCCCATTTATAAATAACAGGAACAAAAAGCCCAAGAGATCCAACAATTGAAACCAAAAGAAAAGTCCACAGAAACATCCGATCAAGAACCTGGGCTATGAATTTCCAATCTTCAACAACCTGTTGTAAAAAAAAAAACACACACACACACATTAAACACTTGATTTAAAATTATGTACATATTTTAAGATATAACACATTGAGTTAGAGGCCAAATCAATTTGTGCCTCCCATTGCTGTCTCTAAACAGTAAGTGACCATGTACTCAGTTCAGGGACGGTACTACCCTGATGATTTATTAAAATATAAGCTCTAAAAGACACTACAAAATGTGTTCACTAACACATCAACTTGTAATAAGTTACAAGTAGTTTACTTTGGCAGTTTTTAAATAAAAATTAAAGTATACTACTTGGGTATTTTATAACAAACTAAAAAAAATTTTATTTATTTATTTATTGAGTTAGAGTCTCACTCTGTCGCCCAGGCTAGAGTGCAGTGGCACACTCACAGCCAACCCAGAGTCAACCTGCTGGGCTCTGGTGATCCTTCTGCCTCAGCCTTCCAAGTAACCAAAACTACAGGTGTGTGCTACCATGCCCGGCTAATTATTTATTTATTTATTGTAGAGACAAGGTCTTGCTAAGCTGCCAGGGCTGGTCTTGAACCCACGGACTTAGGCAGTCCACTCGCCTTGGCCTTCCAAAGTGCTGGGATTAAAGGTTGAGTCACCAAGTCTAGGTTATTCTTACTATATAGTTATTTCTGTTAATTATTCTTGCCCAGTAGTCTTTACTTACTGTAAACGGTGATCAGGGCTCACCACAGCCTTGACCTCCTGGGCTCAGGCAAACTTCAGCCTTAGCCTCAGCTGGAGTACACCATGCCCAGCTAACTTTTAAAAAAATTTTTCATAGAGATGAGGTCTCACTATGTTGCCTACACTAGTCACAAACTCCCTGGCTCAGGCAATCCTCCTGACTCAGTCTCCCAAAGTGCTGAGATTATAAGCATGAGCCACGACCCAATTAATTTTTTAAGAGACTCCAGTCTGAGGTTAATTTCATGTCAAATTAAAAGTTGGTTCAGAAATACTTAGTCAAAAGCTGTTAATCTTCTCCCTGCCCCTACTTTATTTACTTTTGGATTTTCAAGGACCACTTTAAACTAATGAGGACAGAAGTGCCAGCTCTGGACCAGCTTTAGCAGGGAGGAAGCTCAACAGATCAGAGCTACAAGGAAAGGGCATGCTGAGCCCAGCCACTTAGCATTAGAGACAGGGTCTCCCTTGGTTACTAAGGCTGGAGTACAATGGCACAATTATGGCTCACTACAACCTCCAACTCCTGGGCTCAAGGGATTCTCCTATTTTAGCCTTCCAAATAGCTAGGACTTCAGGCATGAGCCACCACATCCAACTAATTTTTTTCTTAAAGATAGAGTCTCACTATTTTAACCAGGCTAGTCTCAAACTCCTGGCCTCAAGTGACCCGCCTACTTTGGCCTCCTAAAGTGCTGGGATTACTGGTGCAAGCCACAGTGCTTGACTTGGCTTCCGTCTCTAAAAGTCCATTTCCTTGACTCTGACTCACTGAGCCACTATGAAGCATGGAGTCCACTGTAGGAACCGTGCTCCAAGTTGTGGGATAATTTAGGGCACTGAAAACACTATTCGGCTTCTAAGTTTTCCCCTGAAAATAAAACCTACCTCCTGGTCCCAGTAGCATGAGCCCTGACTCTTTTGCACAATATTGGGCTTAGATTTATTAAATCCCATCTCAGTCTAAACCATTATCTAACAAATACATGTATTTTTCAAGGCTCTATCAATAGTCCCAAGCCTTACCAGCAGATTTAATTTTGCTATCACAAAACAGAAACTTCACAAATCCACAAGCATTAAAAGTTTTTTAGGCCGGGTGCAGTGGCTCATACCTATAATCCCAGCACTTTGGGAGGCTGAGGAGAGAGGATTGCCTGAACCTAGGGATTCGAGACTAGCCTGGGCAACTTGGTGAGACCTCATCTCTACAATAAATCAAAAAATTAGCCAGGCATGGTAGTGCACGCTTGTATTTCCAGCTGCTTGGAAGGCTGAGGTGGAAGGATCACCTGAGCCCAGCGGGCCGAGGCTGCAGTAGCTATGAGCATGCCACTGCACTCCAGCCTGGGCGACAGAGTGAGACTATGACTCAAAAAAAAAAAAAAGTTTTTTAAAAGTACACATTTGGGAGGGGGAAAGGTTGTTATTTTACCAGATCCATTCTTTCTACTTCTCATACCTGCTATAAAATTTTCCATTTGAAAAAGCTTTTGAAGTTAGAGTTCACATAATTTTAATGGGCCCATTTAAAGTAAATTCAATTATGAAAATATTACTATAGTCATAGGTTCAAATGTATTACATAATAGAAATAAAGAGCAGTGACAAGATGGACATTTTACATCTTTTGAAAGAAAACACAGGCCAATAGGATCACATTAGTAAAATGTACTCATGTTCAAATCTTGCATTTTAAATGTTAATCTTAAATAAGGAGCCACTGAGTCTCCTTCTGTCACCCAGGCTGGAGTGCAGTGGCATGATTATGGCTCACCGCAGCCTTGACTTCCTGGGCTCAGGCAAGCCTTCTGCCTCAGCCTCTCGAGTAGCTGGGACTACAGGCATGTGCCACCATATCTGGCTTATTTTTTATTTTTATTTTTGTAGAGATAAGGCCTTTCTGTGTTACCCAGGCTGGTCTCAAACTCCTGGGCTCAAGCAATCCTCTCATCTCGGCCTCCCAAAGTGCTAAGATTACAGGCGTGAACTACCACCCCAGCCAAGAATCCTTTTTCTATAAAGTTTTAAGCAGATTTTTTTTGTTGTTTTTAAGCAAATTAAGCCTAGAAAGTACTATTACTAAACTTCACGTGAACACTTTGATGTATATATAATACATAACACCTGAGAGCACCTTACTCCTTTTAATTTCCCCAACATTCTCTTATATATGAACAACAAAAAGATTCTAAAAAAAATCTTGGTGCCAAAAAAGTATACACATTTTAAGAGATGTTATCTATGTATTACTTTTAGTCTGTCGTAACCAGAAGTGTCTAGACGCTGATGGTAACCATTTTGAGCACTTCTTGTAATTGCAAAAGTCAAATGTGACTTGATTCATCTTTTGTTATCGGTATATATTGAGTATTTCAATTTTAATTGTTTTTCCTTTCTTAAAATGTGTCTTCATTTTTCTGGCACCCTCTGTACTTCCATTATCCTCCACTAGGCTCATTCTTTTAAAATAATTTTTTTGATAACTACATTAATGTCTTATAAAGCAACTGTCCTGCAAATGACCAGATAATTCAGAAACCAAGTTCCTGAAGACCAAATGAAAATAGTTCATCCTGTCAGAGAAAAAAAAATTATTATTACTCCTTAGAATTATTTATTATTAGTAGTACTAGACTATTATTCCTTAGAATACATAACACTAAACTTTCTTTCAAGTTATCCAAGATGCTGATGGGGGAATGAAGAAATGGGCTTGTGTAGGTGCCTCATTTTGCTGTTTTTTTTTTTTCCTCTGAGTTGGATTCTCACTCTGTTGCCCAGGCTGGAGTGCAGTGGCACGCTCACGGCCACATCAGCCTTGACCTGCTGAGTTCAGGTGATCCTTTCACCTCAGCCTTCCAAGTAGCTGGAACTACAGGCATGTTCCACCACGCCTGGCTAATTTTTTGATTTATTGTAGAGATGAGGTCTCGCCAAGTTGCCCTGGTTGGTCTTCAACCTCAGGGCTCAGGCCATCCTCTCACCTCAGCCTCCCAAAGTGCTGGGATTATAGGTGTGAGCCACCACACTCTTGCCGGTGTTTTAACTTAAACTTTAGTAAACAGCTTTTATAGAAAATTATGCCCACAATGCTGGCCCTCAATCTATGTTTAGGCTTAATTCAGGGTCATGTTGTTTACCCTGCCAAGAGCAATGAAGGTCACTTCTGAACTTAGAATCGAAGCAGACCTGCACTAGTAAATACAAAACATCACACACCTCACGGACATCATTTTCCTTCATGATGTGTCTCGTAATGTAGCGAACAGAATCAAGTGCGGCTTCTAAGGTGTTTCTAGAACATGCTGGTCCGCCACTGCTGTCAGCTTCCTCTTTCTGAGTGAAGTACCTATCTGCGTGACTTCTCATGCAAAGCAGTTTAGGAAGCTTGTGAAGAAAGATCTTGCGAACCCAAGGTGCCATGGCGTTGTGTGTGGAGGAAGAACGGTGGTGGATGTTGATGGCGAAGACAGTCACCATAATGGATAGCGTCACGAAGATCATGGTGAACACCAGGTACTCTCCAATCAGAGGGATGACTTTTGAAGATGAAGGTATGATCTCCTCAATAACCAGAAGGAAGACAGTCAAAGAGACAAGCACAGAAGTGCAGAGGCAAATCTTTTCTCCTTCATTTGAAGGAAGATAAAAGACAAGTATGGTTAAAAATGAGAGCCCAATGCAGGGGATAATGAGGAACAAGGTGTAAAAGAGGGGAAGGCGCTTAAGTACGAAGGAGTAAGTGACGTACGGATACCAGCAGCAGCTATCGGTCCTGTTCCCTTTACTCCCTGTCGCACTCACGATTTCCCATTCTCCGTTATCAAAAAAATCTCTCTCGTCCACATCTTGGTCCTCTAGAATTATATCAACCTGTGACCCATCGTAAGTCCAGGAACCGAATTTCATGGAACAGTTTTGTAGATCAAATGGGAAAAACGTGACATCTATGGTACAGGAACTCTTGTAGTTCGCTGGCGGTGTCCATGTGACGGTGCCGTTGTACCTGACGACGGCTTTTGTACTGGTCCCTTCGAAACGTCCATCCGCACTAAAATACATGTGTACAGTAACAATGTAGAAATTAAACAGCCCAAGCATGCATTTTACAGGCCTAATAAATCATTAACAAAAGAAGACCCATGACTGATAGCATGAAATCATGCTTAAATTATTACAATTCAGATATATTTGCTACGCCCAGGGGACCCCACTTCAGGGACATCTTCCTTAAAAATCTAATGTACTGGACCTGAACCCCTCCTTTCACACCCACTCCAGGACTGACGAATCTGTGGCTCACAGAATCCTGACATTCTAGTGGTCGAGAAGACCTTACTTTACACATAAAACAAACACAGGTTATTCTACAGTGAGCATACATAGAGCCAGAACCTGAATCCACATTTCTAGACTCCTCGTACAGTGCTCTTCCTCCTCCATCACAAACACTGGCCACTTTCTACTTGGATGGGAAAAGACCATCAAGCACCAAGCTGAGGCTGGCCCTGAAAAGCAGCTGTGCCTCTCAAGCTCTTCTAAGTGAATTCCTATACTGCCGAAGTCTAGCAGGAAACCAAGTCAGGGTCTCACTCTGTTGGCCAGGCTGGAGTGCAGAGGCACAATCACAACTCACCATAGCCTCAAACCCCTGGGTTCTGGTGATCTTTCTGCCTCAGTCTCCTGAGTAGCTGGGACTACACATACGCATCACCACACCTGGCTAATTTTTTTATTTTTTATAAAGATGAGGTCTCACTGTATTGCCCAGGCTGGTCTCAAACTCCTGGGTTCATGTGATCCCCTGCCTCAGCCTCCCAAAGTGCTGGAATTTCGGATGTGAGCCACCACACCTGAAAAAATACTGTTCTTTATCTTCAAATTCATGTGACTTTGCACACTATTCTGTACTATATCCATGTTTAATAAAACATATTTTCAATTGCTGAGAGTAAAATGATGCTCCAGAAAGCTGGATCATGTTACCTTACAAGTTCTGTTCACTCCTTATTAAGAAGCAGGGAGGGCTGGGCTCAGTGGCTCAGCCTGTAATCCCACCTCTTTGGGAGGCTGAGGTGAGTGGATTGCCTGAGCCCGCGGGTTCAAGACCTGCCTGGGCAGTGAGACCTCATCTCTACATTAAATCAAAAAATCATCTGGGCGTGGTAGCATATGCCTGTGATTCCGGCTACTTGGAAGACTGAGGCGGAAGGATAGCCGGAGCCCAGCAGGCGAGGCTGCGGTGACCAGGAGCGGCCACTGTACTCCAGTCTGGGCAACCGAGTGAGACTCCAACTCAAAAAAAAAAAAAAAAAAGAAGCAGGGAGGTAAAAGATTTCAAAAGATTAAGGACATTTTTGCATAGCATTTGCTCTGTCCTCTTGCCAAATGCCTGCTGCAAATAAGACAAAGTGCTTTAGGATAAGCACAAACTCCCAGATTTGCCCTGGAATGGTCTTAGAAAAATGTGAAACTGGTACCCAGAATTTCCTCTCCCCCAAGGTAAAAAAGTCATCCTCACAACACCCATAGGTAGGATACTGATAAAGATGAGTTAATAATTAACCCAACATTCCTCATTATGGGAAAATGACATTATAGTATTAAAACAAAGTTAAAAGGATACACATTTGAACATACAATGTGGCCTCAAATATTTCAAAAATACCGAAAAAAAAAAAAAAAAAAAAAAAATCTCGAATGCCAGGCACAGTGGCTCACGCCTGTAATCCCAGCACTCTGAGAGGCCAAGGCAAGAGGACTGCTTGAGCCCAGGAGTTTGAGGCCAGCCTGGGCAACACAGTGAGACCTTGTCTCTATAAAAAATAAAAAATTAGCCATGCATGGTGGAGTGTGTCTATAGTCCCAGCTACTCAGGGAGGCTGAGGCAAAAGGATCGCCTGAGCCCAGGACGCTGTGGTGAGTGTAAATGTACCATTGCACTCCAGCCTGAGTGACAGAGTGAGACTCCAACTAAAAAAAAAAAAAAATCTAGAAGTCTGCCAAAGATATAGTCTAGTAAATAAGAGGGTAAATGGGCATCTCAGGTGGCCTCGGTATAAACCCCTACCCTACCACATGCGAGCTGTGTGATCTTGGGCAAGGTATAACCACCCTTGGCCTCCGTTTCCTCTTCTGCAAAACAGATGCAGTCACCCCCAGCACATGAGGTTACTGTGAGAAACAAGTACGTAACACACCCCCCACATTGCCAGGCATACAGTACATTCACTACACTGGGAGCCAGTACAACAGCTGCCTTGAGGTGATATGATTGATTACAGGTGGCTCCTGCCCTACCTGCTCACATCTTTCTGCACTTTCCAAGTCTTTTACAAATTTCAGAAATCAGAACACACTTTTGTGATCAGAAAACAATACACTAAAAAAAGGAGAGGACCCACCAAATCTATTTGTAGGTTCATGAAACAAAAGAACGTAAGATCAAGTCATCTGATTTTATAGCTAAATAGTTTTCCAAAGGGAGAAAAAGTACAAGTGCCTAATAATAATGCAAGCATTTTCTTTTAAAAACATAAAATGGTATCTAGAATATAACTTACTTATCAAACAAAACGATGTCTGGTGTCCAGATGGACTCTGAAGGGACACGGATAGTTTTTATTCCACCATAGTCGTCAGGGTTCCATCTTAATTTTACATCTATCCATTCCTTTAAAACAAAGAAGTCTGCTTCAACTTCAATAAAAGTAACAGTCAAAAATAGTGAAAACTAGCATGCACCTGAGGAGGTTGAGGCAGAAGGATCACCTGAACCCAGGAGTTCAAGATTGTGGTGAGCTAGGATGGCGCCATTGCACTCCAGCCTGGATGACAGAGGAAACCCTGTCTCAAAAAAAAAAAAGGGAAAACTATCCTATTTTAGTCACACCCAGAAATTTCATGCTAGAGATCATCTCTACCCCCAAGAGAGAAAACTCACCTCCGTATCTCTCTAATGAGCACTAGAGCATGATGTTGTCCCCTCATGTAGTGGCTTTTGCCACGGTCCTTGTGAGACACAGGTGAGGACCACAGCGGGTTTGTTCATGGCTCTGCTCAGCACCAGATCTCCTACCAACTGACTGGACCCAGAACTTGAAGCCTCAGGTATCTAACGTCCAGGTTCAAGGGCATCATTCTCTTTTCTAGTTGTATTAGCACCTAATTTGGTCAGACTGGTCATGCAAAGGGGAGTTGAATTTATTATACATTCTGCTTTTTTTTTTTTTTTAAGAGACAAGATCTTGCTCTGTGACCTAGGCTGGAGTACAGTGGCAATTGTTGCTCACTGTAACCTCAAACTCCTGGGCTCAAGGGATCCTTCTTCCTCAGCCTCCTGAGTAGCTTGGACTATGGGTATGAGCTACCACATCTGGCTAAATTTTCTATTTTTTTGTAGAGATGGGGTCTACGTTGCCAAGGCTGGTCTCAAGCTCCTAGCATGAAACGAACCTCATGTCTTGGCCTCCCAAGGCGCTGGGATTACAGTGAGTCACCTTGCCTGGCCTACACATATCTAACACCTTTTCCAGCCTCCATGCAGTAATAATCCTGTGATCATACCAAATTAGGAGTTGCACCCCCCGAAAAGCATATATGCCTTTTAGGAGTCTGGAGTTAGGAACAAGTAGTGGTATAAAAATTAGGGATGAGAAAAAACAAAGGAAAACACTCAACAGCAGTTGAGGACATATGTATGGTGACCCAAACATATCTTTTATAAAAAAGATATTATATACATAAAAATAATTCATGGTCAGGCTTAGTGGCTCACTCCTGTAACCCCAGCACTTTGGGAGACCAAGGTGGGAGGATTGCTGGAACCCAGGAATTCAAGTCTGGGCAATATAGTGAGACCCTGTCTCTACAAAAGACAAACAAAAAATAAGAATTCATTAACATGCTTGCCCCTTCTCATCTCCAAGTAAAAGACCAAATCCTTGCAGTGGTCTGGGAAACCACCCTCTGCTGACCTCGTGTTGCTTATCTGACCCCAACTCCCACACCCCTGCCCATGGCTCTCACCTCTAGCCTCATTGGTCTCCTTGCTGCTCCTGAAACACACTCGGCACATCCCAGCCTCAGAGCCTTTGCACCTACAGGTCACCCCGCCTGGAACACTCCACCCCAGTATCCACATGGCTTGTTCCTCCCTCCAAGGCTTTGTCCAGAGGTTCCCTTCGCCACATCGTTTTCTCTGACCACCCTACTGGTAAGTTCAGCCCCCAACACTAGCTATCCTCTTCCCAATGTGCTTTTCTCCTAGCTTATCAGCTTCTAAGGCACTAGACAACTTACTAGAAAGTCCCTTGAGAGCAGGAATTTTTGTCTGTTTTGTTCTTTGCTGTTTCCCCAGAGCTGACAGCACAGTAGACACTCAAAACACATTAGCTGAATAAATACAAGAACTGTGGTTTTCTGCATCCCATCAATGCCAATTCATCAAGACCACATATTCACATCCTTTTCTGCCACAAGCCCTATAATAAAAAGGGGTACCCGTCACCAGCCAGGTGCCTGTTTGAATTTTGTACATACCTGTTTCAGCCAGACATTTGTTGTCATTAGCTGATTCTTCTCATCCTTTAAAACACAAATGTAAATAAGGTGATTTTAATTGCAGAAACAATTTACTTTAAATTGTTAAAAACAATACTCCTTTAAATAAGCATTTTCACATTTGTATATAGATGCTCCTCTCCATGTTATTCTCTTCCCCACATCCTGCTCCTCAATCCAGTCCTCTAGAAAAGTAGGATCTCTTTCCCAGTCTAATTTCTCTTTTTTTTTTGAGTTGGAGTCTCACTCTGTCGCCCAGACTGGAGTGCAGTGGC